AATGAACTTGCGATGAAGGTTTGAAGGCTCGAGGGCTAGTGAATGATGGTCAATGTGATAAAGAGGAGTGAATTGTGGAAATTGGCAGCTTTTTAGGTTTTTTCTAGTCTGGATCTTTATATTTTAGACTTTTTGCACTTCAGGATACACATTCTATCTATATTTATTCTAGTATGTCCTTTAAGAATTTTAATCAGCGATTAATTTAAGAATTTCTGATCTTATGGTTTTTAAAAGGATGCAAAAGTTTCGCATCATTTATTTTCAAATTTGAAATGATCGTTACATTGCTTTCTGATTACAAAAACCTTAAAAGTTCGATGACTTGATCCTCAGCATTCTTAACAAATAATTCTCAAACTAAAAATACACTTTACAATACAAAAAGAATCGTCTCAATCCATTAAAACTGCATGAAATGATTCTTTTTAAACTGCAATAGCAAATTAAAGAAATCGTGACTCAACAAAACTCTCATAAATTTCGATTTAATCCTGAATAAAGTAATAAATATAATGTCATTTACAAAGAAATACTTTAATATGCAATTACTTCAATCGTCATTATTGAAGATCGTTCATATAATGCTAGAATATGTGTAATAAATATTAAATAAGTTGTGGCTTTATTCATTGATGTTTTACAAAACACATGTTAGGTTTTTTTCAAAGGGAAATATTTTTATAATATTAGAAAAGGCAACTCTTTCCTTATATTTTGAGTGTCATTTCCTGTAATTAATTATTAATTTGTCAATTAGGTGGGTTATTAAATGAGCATTTGAGTGATATGTGGAAAGTTTGTTGAGGGTTTGAAGCTTAATCAATAAATGTTTTCGATTTATTTGTATTTAATCATGAGAATAAGTTAATTTTGGATGTTAAAACTGAAGAATAAAGTCAATACGATAAAAACAAATTTAACGGATTTTTAAAATTAAAATGTCTCAAAAAGATGCAAAACATTCAAATATTAATCATAACGGAAATTCCAAAAAATCAAAGCCGAAATCCTGATTAGACTCAAATGTCAACCTACATAATTCTTCAATAAACATTAACAAAATTAATTCTTAAAGGATTAGAAAAATATCTTAAACAAATAATGACATTTTTCTTAACCTACTTATGATCTCAGTCCACAAATTTGACCAATTCATTTCATATATCATTTGATATTCATTAGCTCGCATTAAAATCAAGACAGAAAATCATTTAAAATCGCTTTTTTTTTGTTGTTTTGTCTTATTTCAATTGCCGCCAGGCATCAAAATGATTCGGCGGAGATGAATGGACACTCAAATTAAACATCGTTCTACCGAAAGATTTTGTGTCTCTCGATTCATCGAGTCATGTCTTGAAATCGTCAGTGATTATAAAATGATTTCTTTTCATCTTTCTATCATGCCTTTATGAAAACAAAAATATCATTGAGTGGTGGATTTTGCAGAGAACTGTGAGCTAATAGCGCTTTTAGCATGACAGAATTCATTAATATTTAACGGGTTTAAAAAATTCAAAAAATAACGGTTGTCAAAAAATCCAAAAAGTTTTATTACAAAATTTAAAAGTTCATAATCCGTTAAAATTTTAAAGCCCATTAAAAACATCAGTCACCCAAAATGACATTCCATTCATCATAACCACCCTAAAATATATTAAAGTTTCTTTAATAAAAATGGATTATTAGACTCTTATGATACAACAGAAGAGAATTAACGAAACCGGAAATTTTGGCAGGAACAAAAAAAAAAGTAAATTTGATATAATTTGAAATAATGATTTGTATCATCGCGTGCTTTTGATGCCTTCTCTTTTTGGAGAGTTTTAGAAAAATCATCTTTATTAATTTTGTCATTTTTTATACCTTTAATGCTATAGAAATAGATGAATGTATCTCAACACACAACATTAGATAAAAAATTGTTTCAAATTAATACTTTGTTGTTCTTCAAATGTATCATTGTGGATCGTCTATATCTCTTAAGAAATGTGCGATTAGGCCTCTATTAAATAAATTAACGAATAGAGCTTTTAGAGATGAATGAAAATTATGGGGTGTAACATTAGGAAGGATGGATTTCCATGTCTACACAAACACAATGGCAGGTTAGTTTTATTAGCTTTTCCTCTTTATTGAGGAATTCAGTAAGCAGTGGAATTATCAATGGTTTTTAGATTAGATTGTTTAATTGACTTTAGTTCTTTGTTTGTGAATCATGCGATTGATCTGTGCGGCTATTAAATAGTTGTCTATTTTGTGGGTGTTGCTTGAACGACTTCCGGTTGATAGATTTTTGTGGAATTTTAAAATAGTCTTAAAGTTATGAAGATTTAAGAAACTTAAAGAAGTTTTGCCTTTCAATTTCAATATTTTGATTATTCACATTTGAAAGTTTCAGTAAAAAAAAAATTTGTTTTTTTTTGTACGAAATACTTTGATTGTCTTCCAGCAAACTGCATTATCCTCTGTGCTCATAAAAATTTAACAGTTCTAGATTGTAAAGTCAGCAATTAAACAACAAACAAAGCCAAATTTCAAAGTCAAAATCTCGATGTGAGAAATGTAAACAACAAAACCTTCCAGAGTTTCTAGTTTTCAGATAATCCACAAGTAGCTAATAAAGCTATGTAATCCAATTTCGTTTATTATATAAAAAAGGCTAATAGAATAAAAATCTCCACAGGTAAGAAATTTTATGAATGAGTTTTTTTATTTGGTGTCAATGTTGACGACGGCAACGACGGTTTGTGAAACAATGAAAAAGGAGAAGAAAAGAGCAAAAAATAGAAGAAATAAAAATTAAAACAAATTAAATATTAAATTGATGGATATAGTTTAAGAATGATCAGCAGGTAAGAAAGCCGACAAGAGTTGAAATATTTTTTTCTGAATCGATGTTGGTGTGGAGCAAAAAAAAGGGAAATTTCAAACAGATTATGTATGAGAAGGAAAGAAGAAATGTAAATTAACTCAAGTGTGAAATGATCAATCAGAATATTTTATAAACTTACCAACAAGCTAAGCTAATGATGAAGATTCGATGTGTGTGGAAAGAAATCTTTCTATTCTGACCAAAGAGGAATGAAGGAAGAGATAAAAGAGATTCCGATAACACGATTTGGAATCCAAATTTAAACAAAACACTCCATAAATTATTCCTGAATATCTCCGATGTGTCTTTACGGTCTTCTTCTTCCTCAATATGACAAAATAATTCTTTTAACACATAACAACAGCCAATTCAAGTTTGAAATCATGACAATCTCGACTCTCCACTCCAATTTTTCTCGTCTCTATCGCATTCACTCTCCCTAATGGTTCTATTAAATAAAAATCACATTTCTACCTCCTTATCGGCATTCTCTTTAGATTTGTGGTATAAAATAAAATTTATTATAGTTCCTCATTTAATTTTGTGGATGTTCTTTTTGGATATTATATGGCTTAAACATTTTTTTTTTTATAAATTTCAAATGTAATGCACGAAAAGCCAGACCACAAATGTGCACTACTTTACTGGATAACAATTCAGTCGAAACTGAATTACTAAATGTGATTAAAAATCACGAATTCAAATTTATTGGCTTTAAGTGACATTAAACACAAGAAAGTATTCAGATATAAAAAGCTTAAAGGTTTATTTCATTTTCAACGGTCTTTTAAAATTTGAATTGTTAAACAATTTTCAGTTCAAAGCTTTTATTCAAAACAATACAACAGCCTTCAAAAGCTCAGTCAAATCAATACAACAGACATCAAAAAGTCGTTATAAAAACTAAAGCTCTAAAAGCTTAAGATTCGTTATCAAAAATCAATTAATTAATAAAAGAAACTAATGACCCATTTAGTCAACTTCTTAATGGAATTAAATTAACTATTATCAAACGTTTTACACAATATTTCACACGAACTTTATTTCTTATTCATAGCTGATTGTATCACATACTCAAGTGGTGTTGTTTAAGGAATGATATGTGTGCGGTGCCTTATTGAAAATTTATTCCTTTACTTTAAATTTTTTCGTTTTATTCTTTCAGCACGTTGTGAGACAAAACAAGATATAAAATTTATTTCCAACAATTTTTTTTAAGGAGGAACCGTGAACGGAGAGAAAGAGCCGCAAAAATGAACACGCTTTTTCGATTTCTTTAAATTTTATGCCAAATAAATTAATTTTCAGATGTTAATTTAATGTAATTTTAAAATGTTTATATGGAGCTTAAAATCCATTAAAGAATGTTGTAGCAATTTGTGAGGCTTATGGCGAGCACTGTTGTTGTTATTGTCCAGTTTTTCAATTGATAAGGAATGCAATTCAGTTGACAGAGATGAATGAATTTTGATTTGAAACTGCTCATTTGTGCTTAAGCTAAGGAACAGCAATGAGGTATAAAATGCATTTTATGCTTATCAATATACCTCAACTATATATAATTTTATGGCGTCAATGGATGTTTGCAAGCTGCGATAACTTTCACTTTAATTCTTCTGCTTGACTTCTTTTTTATCACGAGAAATAATAAATAAATTGGAAAATGCTCTCTTAATTTAATTAATTTGTTTTGTGGTCATTTTTATGATACAGAAACATAAATAACAGCATGAAGAGACCATTAAAGATAAACATTTTGTCGCCTAATTCCTAAAAACAGGTAGAAATTCTTCTCATTCTCCTCTTTCGTCTAATTTGAACACATTTAATCCATTCAACCAGACAATCAGCTCTGTCCAGCATCCAAAAAGTCAGTGTCTATAAATTCACACTCATGTAGGTGTCGCGCATTATCATCTAACTAATGTGCCGATACCAAAATTAAAACCTATTAAATAATGAATTGATTTACAAACAGACTCACATCATCGTCCATTGGCTATAAATTAATTTAGTAAAAAGGCTGTTAAGCAATAAAAAAGCTCTTTTCAAGTTAATAAAAAAGTGAATTTCCTTATTAATTGTCTGAAAAGCATAATTAACGGACGTAACATGTTATTGGATATCCATTAAGTCGTAAACAAAAATCTTTCTCCTTTTATTGATTTATCAGGCATAATAAAAATTAATGATCCATAAAAGTATAAACCGTGAAAGTAATTAAATAAGCAAATTATTGATAGTACATTTCCAAATTCATTCCATCGTGAATCTCATCTAAAAATAAAGGAATTAATAAGTTGTTAATAAGGATGTTGAAGATTACTATAGCTTGAGAAAAGTATGCAAATTTAACGAACTTTTTAAAACTAGTGTTTCAAAACCATACAACAGTTTTTGAAATTGAGTAGCTGTTGAAAGGTTTTGAGCAATTCCACTGTATGTCATTGCCTTTAATAATTCAGTTCCTCAAATACACACTTGTTGCTAATTTCTCTTAAACTTACAATCCGATAGTCTGATGTTATCCTTATAAATTGTATACCATTTTTTGAGGACGATTTTATCATAGCGAGTTCCTGTTTGTGCTGCAATAAGTTTTTTGAGGTCTCCTATTGTGTCATCTGGATTGCATTTAACTCGTACTTTCTTTCCCAATCGATCGTTGCATGTAATTTCCAACATTTTGATGCTTTTCTGGATCTAAAAATATATGAAGTTTTTTAAACGTTTATTAATGTACTGGATGTCTAATTTTGCATATATCATTTGGAGTTTGTAGTCAATAAATAAACATAAGTATGTTATAAAGGTTTAAGACCTTATTAATTAGATATATTTCGAAGATTTAGGTAACAAAACATATAACACGAAAGATACGTCCGAATCTGCAAAAGTGCAGCAAAATTTCAATATGTCAGATGCTTATCATTTTCAACTTACTGTATATGTCAAAATTGTTCCTATATGCTACTTACTGGATGTGATTTAAGTTGTTGCTGCTTCCTGGATGTAATGTTTACGATTTTTGATTCAGTTTATGAATTTCAAATAGCCGTTGAAACTTACTGAACGCAACTTTTGTGTAACTGTTGTTTGAAATTCAAAAATTGAACCTAATTGAATTGAAGAGAAAACGAAAATTAAATCTAAGCACACTCAAAATAATATCTAGACGCACTCAATTGTAGGAAAAAAATAAGTGACAGTAAAGCAAATAAGTTAAATGTTTTTTTACAAAATTAGACGTGAAAACAGTATTTTAAAGCTATTAATTTTAGTGCAATTTATATCTAAGACACTATAATTATAGAAAAAAAATAAGTGACTATGAAAAAGTGTTGATTTAAGAGAGAAATTTCAAAAATAAAAAAAAGGGAATTAATAGTTCGAGTTTTTGCCCGGTTGTGTTGAAATATTCCCTAATTTAAGGTATTTATCAGTCAGTATTTAATGTGAAAATCATTGATACAGTAATGACTAATTATCGAGCGAATGAAATATCACAAATGAAGTCAATTGTGAAATATTAAGTGCTAATTTTTCTGTATTTATTATTTCGCTGGGTCAAAAAGATATTCAGCAACATTTAAACAGAAATTCTTGTTCAGTTCTCATTCAGCTCGTCCGCGAGTAACAAGTTTTATATCGTTTAAGCTTTAATTTTTTACGTTTTTCTTCTTTTTCATGCTTCTACAACAGAAAAATTGATAGTTAATAAATACGCGAGCGGAGAAACAGAGAAGAAAATCGGGGTGTTGTCCATTAAATATTAGAAAATATTTGATAACGATATCGTGAGGAATATTATAAGTGAAGTGTCAAGTGCTAAGATATTTTAAAAATGCATTAAAGTGTGTGGAAAAATGTAGATCATAGATCAGAAAAAAAAATAATATAAGAAAAAGTGCCAAAAGAGCAAAGTTAAAGCAACAGTGAGATTGTGAGAAAAGTAATAATTAAAGTGAACTCAAGAGCTTGTAGTTTAGGAAAGAAGATTTAATAAATAACAACAATGTTCAAGTGCATTCCGATATTTAAAGGATGTAATCGTCAAGTGGAATTTGTGGATAAACGTCACTGTTCCTTGCCAAATGTTCCCGAAGACATTTTGCGTTATTCAAGGAGCTTAGAGGAGTTGCTGTTAGATGCAAATCACATCAGAGATTTGCCCAAGGTAAGAGACAATACAAGAAGAGCAACAGTGTAACAAAAAATAAAAAGTGGTGACATCATCAACAGAAATTTGTTGCATATAAGGCGCGACTATCTTTACCTATGTATTTATTGGCTTATGTATGACTGTGTTTGTGTTGTTGCTTGGAAATTCCTTCATGTGTTTATTCTTTTCTTTTACACTTCTTACTTCATTCGTCGTCGTTCTTTTCTTTCTGACTTAGTCAAGAATGTTTATTTTCTTAAATTTTTATGGAAAAAAAAAAATTCATTTAGCCGTTATGATTTTTGATCGTGTGACAAAAGCGCTTATTTTTGTGTTGGGTGCATTTTAGATTCGTAGATGCTGCAGCATAAATTATTTAAGTAACTTCAGAACTCGTTTTTGGACCAAAAAATAATATAATTGCAAAAGAATTAGAATAATCAAAGAAATTTAATATCTTATAGACAGAACTAGAACCTCTTACTTTCAATATTAAATTTGCAAGCTTCAACTTCACTTTCAACTTTGCATTCATACAATCTTGTCTTCTGTCAGTCATTTAACAAACAAAATTACTAATTAGCCAACAGATCAGACAACCCAAACCAGACATTCACTTAACCAAAATGAAAAAAAAGATTAATTTATCTACTTAGACCAAAAAAAATGCGTTGAAAATTGCTTTTCTGTGATTCTTTTTCATTCTTATTTCTTTCGAGCTAAACTCACAAAGATTTTGAACCACACTTGAGACAAAAAAAGGCATCAAGAAGACTTTTAAGCAAACATGCTTGTGCTACTTTAATGAATTGTTTACGTTTCTGATTAATGGTGAACCGCTAAGCCTTTAAATCCATTCCTTTCAATCAATCTCTGACGTAGAAGAAAAAAAAAATTAAGTTTTCACTTTCAATAAATTTTTACCTCTTTTCGCACTAACTTGCCTTTTAATATCACAAAATCAATGACAATTATATCCGCTCGTTCTTAAACATGTCTCAGTCACGCTAAAAGAATTGTGTGTATCGGTATGTGTAATGGAGACGTTGAGGCATTTACAAATAAAAATTATCCCTCTTCGAACACACATCAATTTATATGTAATTCAATGAAAATGCACTGGCTTTGACTTTTAATACTTCTGTTTACTTAATTCTCACAAAGAATAAAAAAAAAAAAAAACTACAACACCATTAATGACAATTGTGAGGGCTATCAGTAGTTAGTATAAATCATTATATCGCATATATACACAAGAAAAGCAATAGCATTAAAGTCTAATCGATAAATCAATAAAAGTTTTTCTTTATTATTATCATATTCCACTTTACACACGATATGTATTTGAGTATACAAAACATCGACATCGTGGTGGCTACGAGTAAAGTAAACTTCATAGAAAAGAGTTGGAATATATGTAACATTAACCATTGAATAAGCAACAGGAGACTTTATTTTTAGCAATTATTTATTAAATCAAGGTCTATGATGGTCCATGTTGAATGGCTGCCAAACAAGATCGATAGTTGCAACGTGCCATACAGTTTTTTTGCAATTTAATTTCAACTTGTTGCTTTCTCAATGAGTGGCTCTGTTAAAAGTGCGCAATTTGTCATAAGACCTGCAACTTTATTACTTGTTTCTTCCCTTTCTCGTATTTTCCCGATAAAAATGTGTCATTTCATTCATAATTAACAACCCACTTCACTTCCGATATAAAAAAAATCTCTCATTTCCTTCCTTTTTTTTTCATTATATTTTATAAATATGAGTGGCGCTCTCATCCTTACTACATGTTATTATAGAATACGAATTTCACTTTCCATCTCATTAAACATTCAGTAATTTTATTAGAGTTTATTATTTGATTATGAGAGTTGATAATCCTTGGAAGTTTCTTTAGGTGAATTTCACTGTTTGTTTGTGTGTATGAATTATTTTTGGCTGCTTTAAACCTCATTCATTATCTCTTTCACTCACCTTGAAATTCTCTATAAAACTGTTTTTCTTTCTTTTTTGCAAATGAGGTGATTGAAAAATATAAGAGACTCAGTTTTGAGGTTTGAGATTCTCGAAAAATAATCTTTTTTCTTAATGACGAATTTATCAGTCGAATGATGCATTTGGAATTTAATGATTGAAGATTAGTCATTCGCGGTTAGAAGTTAATTTGTGCTGCACTCTGGAAATAGAACAGAGATTGATTTAATGAATGAATCATGTTGTAATGGATTGTTGATTTTGTTGGAACTAAGCATTCACTGAAACATGAATAGTTTGTGATTGTTTTAAAATCGTCTGAGGCATGCTGTAGCACATGTGTGGATGTGAACTAGCCACTCTGCTACCTTTTGCACGCACTTATTAGATTTTGATATTCCAATGAGCTTCCTGTGAAAGTTTCCGTTACTAAAGGTTGACATAAAAGTTTCAGTTTATAAAATTAGTAGCCAAACAAGGCACAAAAAGCTAGGCACGTTTAAAAATACAAAAGATCGTAATAAATAACAATTTATTCTTGCTATCTGTGACTTATATATATCATGTGGATATTGCAAACTGTGGCTTTTAATTTTCTCAAATCACATGCTTTATACTCCATCTTGGAAAGTGATTCACGTGATTTTCACTCAATCGACTAGGATTAATGATTCTTGCTTAGTGCTATGTTTAGATTCAGATCGAATCACAGCTAAACATCCAAGTAATTCTAATCTGATTACAAAAGTGATACTACACGCACATCTTATTTGAAGACATTCCATGATAAATTTTTAATTCAGCTCCAAAACGCACAAGACACAAAACTTTGATGGTTCTTAATATTTACAATGTAAAAGCAAGTAAAAAACTTGTCGTAATCATATATGAACGCATGATTACTCAGAGTAAAATGCTCAACCTTTCTGTCGAAGCCTCTATTCGAGTTCATATAAATGAAAATTTATTATTATTTGTTTATCATCAAAATAATGAAAAATTCCATAAACTGGTAAGTGAATTTTCTTTCATCACATCCTCAATTGCGTACGAATTGTGTATTCATATTTTATTATTTATTTCGGTGGAAAGTCTTCACTTATTTTTTTCTGCAAAAATTTCACATTAAATGTTTTTTTCAAGCTTTGCGAAAAGGAAAAAGAAATTAAAAAATTTTTTTTTGTGTACTTTTCTCATATTTGAGAATATTCTGTGAACTTTTTCCTCTTCCTTTTTGATTATTTACTCAATTGTCTGCTTCATGTGAGATTTGCTTTTGTGCGTATTGTGAAATTTTGTATCCATATGCTCTTCAGTGTTGCTAATTCAGATCTTGTGGTTTATTTGGTAGCGATTGAAATTAAGTTGAGTCGGTTAAACTACTCTGGCTCCATAGATTTGTGTTAGGATTTTAGTTTTGCTAGTTTCTTTTTTTTTGAATTAGAGAGACGAAGAGCAGTAGTGCTCAAGTTACGTTCTATGATTCCCATTTATTTCAAATAATATTCTCGCCTTGATATCAACTCTGTCAAGGACTGGTATTTCCAATGTATGCAGCACAATGAAAGATATTTTGATAAGAAAGAAGCATTTACCTCTGTTTTATCGTGTGTAAATACTGAATAAGAGGCACTTTAGTTTAAAATACATAATTTTCCATCAAAAGAAAAATCTTCTCCTTACAATCATTTCATTCCTCGAAATATGTGGAAGTAAAAGGTTGCGTGTGTTTGACAACGAGAGTGATAAGAAAAAAAAGGTATAAAACATGACTAAATGTTTATGTTTTTCATTATTCTGTTCATTTCATTGTGATTGTGTTTGTATGTTTTGTTGGAAAAGGCTTGATTGTCTGCCGATAAATACATGCTCTTGCCGATGATGATGATGTGTTCATTCTATGTCTCGTAATTGTTCTCCGCATTCCATATACAATAATAAAATATGTGTGTAACCTTGAGAAAAAATAAATTTATTTTTAACTGTTTGGTTTGCATGATAAACGATTACTAACAATCGTTTGTATTTTTTTTGCTTGCATACTGCTTACGTAGTATTTGTCTCCTACCTGTTTTTATCATTCACGAAAAAAAATGAAAATAAATAGAATTTTTAAAATGCTTGCGAGTAGCAATGAGGTCAAGTGAATCGCGCGTATGAAAAATGTAGTTTTTTTACGTAACATCTCATAACATGAGTGCATGGCTGATACATACTGTACTGCTTGTCGTTGGAGGTTCCTGTCTATCTCGTCTTTCTCAAAATCATGCATATTTGTTTTATGAGAGAAAAAAAAGGTTTTATAAAGATGAGAAGCAGTGAGTAACTTGATAAGTGCTTTGACGAATGCTTTAAGATGTTTGCTGACTTAAATTTAGATGTATCACATGATTCACAAATATTTGACTCATTTGAATCTCTTTGTCCAATTTTATTGTGACTTGAATTTTTCTTAGTAATTGAAGGACTGGCCTAATAATTTTAAGGATAACAGGTCGAGGTCATTTATATTTTAGTCATGATTTGTTCTTAATGAAAGAGCATGTCAACATGCCGGTACCGACTTCAATTAAAACTTTTAGCTTTCCACAAACCCCTATAAACTTTAATCGATTTTAACAGACTTGCTGTAATCCCAACTTGTCAAACAAACAAACTTTAAAAGCAACAAAAAAATACAAAACAGAAATCCTCGCTGATAAAGCTGACTTTTGCACTCTCCATTGTTTTACATAACTTAAATGCTTAGTATGAATAACATTTGCATTCTTTTAATTCCTACTAAATGACTACTTTACGTGTAAATAACAAGCTTGAAGAAATGTTTGTATTTTCCTGCAACTGAGTGCAAATATCATCAAAAAGAAGTCAAGTCACATAATTTAACTGAAAGAGTGTTCTGCTGCTGACAAAAGCAAAACAATTTTCTCAACACTTATGTTTTCTGTGCATGCAACAGACTAAGATCAAAGAGATTGTAATTCTTAACTGATATTGACAGTTATTAATTTTCTACATCAGCTGGAAAAGCTTGTTGTTGGCAATAATTGTTTGAAAATAATTGTAAAAGCTCTTGAAGAAGTGGCGTTACTGCAATCCTATATTTGTGAAGACATTAGCATTAATTGTAATCTTTCTGGTTTTTATGCAAAATTAATAGTTATCTGCAATGTGCTGTTAAATACTTGAGAAGGAATTTACATGCAAAAGTTGATTCTTTTATAAGAGCTTAGAGCTCGTTTGACCACCGCTGATTATATATATATCCTATCCTAAATGGTACATAAGAATCTGCATTGAATAAATCGATAGGTTGATTGCCATAAAATCTATTCTTATTTTGCAATCATTCAATACAGAAGCCTTAAATTGCGGTATTCCTATGGAATTTTCTGTGATTTGATAACATATCTGCTAATTGATTTTGTGTTAGTCATCATTATCATTGGATTTTTCTACGATTCGTGTACGATAGATCTTGGTATGTGTGACTGTATGTGTTAAAGTATGCGATGATTTAGTCATTTTCTGCATTATTATTAAGTGTAGGTTATCTGTGGGATATTCGAATTTAATTTTACTCTTTTGCTAAGTCTTTGTTGCTATGTTTTGTTTATTATTGCCAGAGTTGGGACTTAATTGCTTGCTAGCCACTTTATTCAGTAATTAATAGATCATAGTTGCTCGATAAAAAACATTCTTGAGTAGCTTACACAAAAGAGTTGAGAACAACACTGGATACTTCTATTGTTAGCATTATTTCTTCTTCATCAGATGATTGGCAGGTTGAAAGAATGTAGAATTGCAACCTTGAAGCAATCAACAGAGTATATATTGGATTTGAATGAATATATAATTGACTTGGAGTTAGATGTCTAGAAATCAGAATCGGATTGATTTTCTTCTTAGAAATTGAAATCAGATTTTCTTCCTTACAAATCAAAGATTTTGTTTTATGAAAGGAACAAGAAGTTTTGTAGACAGAAGATTTCTGTAGCAAATTTGTTGAAACCTGACAACATCTTCCTCAAAAATGTCGTGGATTTCTCTTAAATGAACAGCCTTTGGTGATAATTTAATGAGTTGCTTACTGAATCAACCTTAATTGAATTCCTTATAAAACAAATAAATTAGTCGGAAATAAATTTTCCACGAGATTAAAACTGCCTCAAGGACTTGCTGTCTTGAATATTTTAAATTATTCCAACTTGACCTTTGTTCGAAAGCCTCTTTAAATAGCTATCGTAGGAATTTTCCAGAATTTTCTCGGCACATTGATTTACTTTAAGAGGCAAATAGCTTGTTAATAAAGTTTAAACTGATGAAAAGGAGCTGACACTGTAAAAAGTATTGTCACATAAAGTCAATTACAAGAACTTTTGATTAAAATAAGCTTCATTCCCACATCATTATAATTTGTTCAACCTCTCTGGTTTTTCGCATAAACTTTCTCAATTAAAATATTCCAGAATCTTATCTAAACTTCATTATCTCTTCTTATCGAATGTTGTAGCTTAAACACAATTTTATCCACAATTTTAAAGCTTGACATACGCTTCTCATGTAATAGAATATGTATACGTGGTAAATTGAATTAGTAGATACTTGCTAATTTTGATAACTATGTGAGGTGCTATTATTTACAGTTTCTCTTAAAATAAATGAAGGCTGAATATTTATTTATTTGTTTTCCCATAAGTCAGGGAATTTATTATGTAATACAATGTCAAGTTTTTTATGTGTGCCTATGTATTATTATTTAGCAATTATGATGTCACCACATAAATAAAATATAAACATGCTTCCATAATACGATTACATTATGGAAATTTGTAAAATCTAATCGATAATTTCCTGAATGAACATACACATGCATGAATATTAATTAATTACTTCTTTATTTTCTTTTGTAGAATTTTTTCCGACTACATCGACTTAGAAAGCTTGGCCTGAGCGACAATGAAATTCATAAACTTCCTCCCGACATACAAAACTTTGAAAATCTTGTAGAATTAGATGTATCGAGAAATGGTAAGTTTTGGATATTTTAAAACATTTATTTACATAATAAAACATACAATTTTCATTTACTTACTATGTGAATGTTATGTGCCATGTTGTTTATTTAATGTTTCATTATAAGTCGTTTTGGACAGCAGTTTATAGGAAAATTGTGAGTTTTAGTTGTCATTATGTTCACATGAACTTATAAGGGAATTTAGTACGTACAGCATTGAGGTTTTAGAAGTGAGGTCTACAGCTTCCTTCTACACACTGCATAAGTTTAAGATTATATCTGATGCAGGCATGCATTTTACGTTCATAACTCAACTCTCAGTCCTCTTCTGCTTTTATTTCGATGTTTTTATAAACACACAAAAAATAAAACTCATCGACATTGTTGATGAACATATATCTCTTTCACATATTGTATAAATCACTATATAAATAGTATTAGATTAAGCTTCAATCCATTTGAAATTTTACAGATATGTGAAATTCGAGATAGACATATTAATAGAAAAATGTATTATGGGTTCGAAAGCATGTAACGTCAAAAATTTAATCATTGAGTAGAGTCTGACAGATGTGTAACATTGTTCTCCGTGCGAAAATTGTTTTGAGTTCCTAAAAAATCTTATTTTCTGACGGAAATCATTGTTAAATGACCCCTAATGAGTCAGTGTTGATAAATTGATTTTAACTCATTGATAAATGTAAGCATTTATTTTCGATTTAGCAAAACGATATTTCGATAAGTTTAAAATTCGATAATTTATTCTTTACCGCTAGCAACAGTCCGGCAAATAGTTGTAAAAAGCAGGTTAACATTTTTTTTATTTATTCATTCATTTATTCGATGTAATACACAAAACTGTCAGTGCAGTGAGTTTTATTTAAACAAAAACAGAGCTCGTGTTTTTTTTTTCCTCACAATGTTACCGGAAATAAGAAGAATGCCGTTAGGTTGAAAATGATGTGGAATATCAAACAATGAAAGAAAAACTCTTTTTTGCATAAAAATGCCACACTGTTTTAGCATATTACACACTTTGATATTGAATCGAAAAAAAAGTTTTGTTTTGAAGCTTTCATCAGCATAATTAGAAATTTATTTTACCTATATTGACTTGTAGAGGCGGCATGAGCAATGAGAACATTAGCAATTTTGTTATTAGAATATGAAAGAAAAAGTCAATTTTGGGGTGCTTAGGGTGAGGTTTTGCGATTTTCAATGGATAATTAATTTCGATATTGAGATGTGAATACAAAAAATTGAGCAAAGAATAAGTACAAATCATGAAAATGAATCTTGAGTTGAAAAATTGTTGAATTGTTGAAAAATACTTAATTCACAAGATTTTATGTTTGAGTGTTGGAATTCTAGCTAGAAAATTATTCAATATAACTTTAATCAACTCTTAAATCAACATTACAACAATCATACATGAAAAAGTAATCTTCTTAGCAATTCATAGGCAGAAATATCTCTTTCAGAACTTAATAAGCTTTCTTATTTACCTCAATTTCCATTGAGAATAGCTCAATCATATATCATAGATATATTGTTGAACCATCAGCAAAGGTGTTAACATAAATATTTAGATAACATTTCTCAAATTATTCAGGTCAAAGTCAAACAATTTCATGTATCAATGACCAGAATGTTTGCTTTCTAGCTGTTACTAATGCTCCCTTTAGGCTCGCATTGTTGTAATGATATTAGAAATTCGTGATGATTTTGTATTTTGTCTTAATATCGATTTTTTTGGCATTTGTTTATTATCTGCCTAAATAAATCATCAAATGCTTCCTCAGCATCAAAGAAAATCTTATTGAGGCTTTCCAAAAGACCTTATTGGATATAATTTACTTTAATCTCTCATCGGACATTAAATCATTTTTTTTTTCGTCCAGGGATTGTTTGTAATTGATGTCTATTAGAAAATTGAACTTTTCAGCATCATTGCTTAAATTTTATTCTCCTGAACATTTCAATTTGACTTTAGAAGCTCTTAATAGGTGGACATCATTTACAAACAACCTTCTTAATCATCTTAAAAGTTTTCTCAATAAAGAATGTTTAACGATTTGCAAAGAAAAAAGAAAAAAAAATAACAAAACAAAAAAGGCAAGAAAGAGAGAAAAATCACGCACCGGTATCGATAATCGATAATTCTATTTTTAAGCATGAAAAAATGCTTGGTCTAGATTCAAATGAGTGCTAAATATATTGTTAAAAATAAATTTATAAAATATATTGTGCAACAAACACCTGACTTGTGTCTCCCTCTCACTCCTCTACTTTCAAAAAATATTTTTTAAATGTAATTTAATCCAACCGCACAAAGTACATAGTCGTTGTCCATTATGTATGTCTCTCCATGTGCACACGAAATCTTATTCTTTCAATCTCTCTGACTCACTCTTATTTCCTTATGAGAAAGAGGAAGCTTGCTTCAGTGAATTTACTCTTATTCTCTTACTGGATGTGCGGTTAGCTCTCCATTGTATTATTATTTTAAAGAACCAAGCGAGAACAAATAATTTTTCGGGAGGTTCTGGTGTATTAAAAAAAAATATGCTACCGTTTAAATTTGGCCTTTAAACTCCCATAAAATAATGCCATGATATGTAGCGGTAAATCATTTAAATGGAACCCCACAAAACATTCTTTTTTGTAATCATCTCATTGATTTATTTAATTTACGTATTGAATTCTATAGTTTTATGGAAGCTACCAAAATAATTTTCATTCATTAATTCAATCAATGATTTATATAGAACGAATATGAATATTCTTCTTCATCTGCATTTTTCTAGTTTTTTTTATGATATTCCAACCAGACACAGAGTTTTTAATGTATATTCATATTCTCGTTTTTCTGATAAATTCATTCTATTTTTATTTTCAAGTGTATTTCAAGCTTTTCTGTACACGTTTCTGTTCTTTATGATTCATTCTGACTAGTTTTTGGATCATGAACTTATGGATGGTGAAAGATTTAATTAGGCTGTCCATTAGTGTGTCTAAAAAGTTTTTCTGAATTTATTGTTTGTAAGTCAGATCTGTTGAGAAAAGCTTGAATTTTGTGTGGGATGGAGAATTGAACTGATAATGGATTTTAAGTCGATAATGCTTCTAATATTTATGATTTTATCCAGAAATGTATTTGTCTGTGTTGTTTATACGCAACATTTATGAAGCTGAATGTCGACATATTAATTGTCCAAAATATTCATTCAATTTATAACTCATAACAGTAATTAATTTTGTGATCTCTTAGCATTACTATTTGACCCTATCCTCTTAAAACGACTAGATAATTTAATAATTTTCTAGGTATGCGTATGTTTATAATAAAAATAACATCTGTTTTCTGTTTATCGATCTGTTGAGATTTTTCATACCAAACACAGCTGCTCTCTATACATTTGTCAGCAGAACAAGGAAAATAATTCTGATAACTATTTGCTGATGATTAATAGTAAATACTACCATGATCACGGACATGAAAAGTTAGCTATTGTGATAGATCCAAAACTATAGATAAAGAGTTCGAAAACCTTTGCATTATTTCAATCTCCTTCCTTCGATTTTGCCTCACTTTCCGAAGGTTAGATACATCGACCGTCTTCAATGCATGAGATGAAAAAAATAGAGATTTAGTTCTTTAAACACTATGTGAGATGTTGGAAAAGGTCAGGATAGAAGATTGCAATCAAAAATAGCTGTGTTAGAGTCATTAAACTTACCTCGGAATGGATGTTATTCAGGATGGAAATAGAAATGCATTAAGGATTGAGAAAAAAAAAATAGAAATGGCATTTGGAACGACTTTGATATTATAGTAATGGCACTAAAAATAGAAAATTATGGCTTATGAAATAGTTCTATTAAATATTATTATAGTTGCTGCATCTCTAGATTAAAATAAAGATGCGCTTTAGTCTTCAACTCATTTTACACCATAAAAAGTTTTCAGCAAGTTCTGCTTCACAAAGAAATGTAAAAATTGTAAAAATATCTTTCTTAATTGCATTTTTCTTTTATGTTTGTTGAAGATGAAAGTTTCTCTTAAATGCAATATAAAGTTCTTTATCGTTTATGATGTTTGAGTTTGCTGTTGAAGGGAATAAAAGCGAGGAAATGGGAGCAAAGTTGTAGTTTTTCGGTTCAATCAAATTTGTTCATTCATTTTATTAATAGAGTTGTGTATTCAGGATTAGACTCTTCTTCTTTGTGTTGTTATCCTGTCCTTTGACTTGTTTAAGATCACCCTTGTATGGCACGGTATATACTGAATACAACACCTTGAAAAAGACAAAAGAGTGTACAAATCCTGAATTCAATTAATTCCTACATAACATGGCTGAATCTATTTTAAAATGTTGTTCCTGTTTTATATTAAATTATTGCTCATCAAATTTGCATCATAATTAATTGATTTCCCATTGTTCATGAATAATTGCAACACATGCAGCTACTACCTACTGCTCCTCTAAAAATTATCAGTATGCTCTGAATTCTAAAGCGGTAAATTCATTGAGTGAAAATTTTATTGAGTGTGATTGACAGACAGGTTGTAATTCAATTGAATCATTTAATGGCACTAATTAAATTTTACTATTTTTATAAACGTCTGAAATAAAGCTTGTATGAATTTTGTAGCCCATCAAACGAAAAGAACGAAGCTATAAACACTCTCAACTTACTTTCTGCTTTATTCAACAACAGTTGTTTTTGTAATGAAATGTGAACATCCCGTTTGCTTAGGGATTTTCGTCTGCTACAAGTACAGAATGTTGTTTTGTAAGAAAGGTGCAGAAGTGTATTATTTTGCACCGTTGATTTCGTGTGAATTTTTTTTGTAGTACTCGGTAATTAATTATTGATTATTGATGGATGAATAATGATTCTCTTCACAGCATTAACCTGTTTTGAAAAACTTTTAATAGTCTTTGTAAAACTTTATAAATTCTCTTTGAAAGTTTTACTTGTGGGAGCAATTTCGTTGAGAATTTTAATATTCTACTTGTGATGCTAGATTCTTGAGAATTTAATGAATTTTTAATAGATTTTGTCTACGAAGCAATTACAAGTGTTGTTTGTATAAAGTTGAAGGACTGAAAATTTGAATTTTCCCAAAATAATGAGCAAGCTTTAATAGAAGAGCTGATAATCATTTCTCTCAGCTAGAAACACAGCTCACAGCTTCAACTACATTTAAAAAAATACATTATCCTCAAACTATCCCCATTTTTTTTTCTTTGATTTTTTTATGCTTCAAAGATTTTCTTTTACGATTTTCGTTGATGATTTTTCTTTAAAGTTTCATCGCAAGACACTAATATTCCGAGTATTAATTTTCAATAGTCCTGCAAATTGAATCAAATTTTATTAATTCTGTAAAGAAATCTGATCTAGTAATGAGTTTATTACACCTGAGTTGCTTCTTTTTCTGTTTTTTGTTGACATTTCCATTTGTAAAATCAATAATGTTAATTGTTGATGCACTGGGGATTTCAAAGTGGAAATGAAAGTGTGTTTTGAATTAATTTCGAATAGTTTGTTCCAAATTGTGGCTTGGAAATCCCAAAGCAAATGGAATCTCTAGGTCAATTAAGTAGACTTTTTGTCACAATGGTCAATAATTTGTGTTCAAATCAGTTTAATAGTAAATAAGAATGACTCCTTTAACCTTTCTGATTTGTTAAATTTGAGTATGAAAAACCCATTAAGCAAGTACACATGTATAGTCATTCTGTCGACTAGACAAATGAACAGAACGATGAATCTGACAATTGTTGCAAACATGACAAGCGCGCACATACATAAATTTTTCTTTTGAGGAAATGTATTCAAGATGTTGATGGCATTCTTTCCGAGAATCGTGAATATTTTATTTTCCTCAAAAAATATTTGTACGAAATGAAAGAAAAAAAAATTCCCTCTGATTCATTTCGCTTTAAATATTTATTCGTTTGTCAAATTTTCATTTCTTCCTCCTTTCTCTATGCATAATAAATTAAGACAAGTGGAATAAACAGTGATCCATTTTACAATTGTACACAACGTGTGCCTTTATTAATTTTCCATCAAATTCTTTACCATGCTATTTGTAATAACAATTATTATTATTTCTTTATGCTAGACATTGAACTTGAGGAAGGCAAAATATACTTTTCCTCTACGCTTAGACGATATTTCAAACAATAATAACAGAGAAGAGAAGAAAGAATTGTGGGCAATTTTTGGTCTGAATATAAAACATAGAAATGCGAACAAAAGAATGAATGGGAAAAAATTTGGCAACATGGCACATTTTTCTTACTCGGTTATTGACTTTAAATGAATCGCTAAGCAATTTAACAGATGGTTTTGTTCGCTAATGATGTCAATTATTTGGTAGTGACCTCCTGAATCTCCTGTGCCACTCTCAATTAGAGTTTTTATTGTTTGAGGTTTTTAAGGAACCAAAAAAACCCAACTTAAAGCTCAATATCATTCACAAACAACCCCAATGCTCATATTATTAAAATATCTTCAAAAGTCATTGTATTAATATTTTATTACTTTTCTCTCATTTCAGATATCCCAGACATTCCAGACGACATTCGTCACTTACGACTGTTACAGATTGCTGATTTCAGTTCGAATCCAATTCCAAAATTGCCAGCGGGCTTCTCGCAACTTAAGAGTTTGACAATATTAGGCTTAAATGATATGTCCTTGACCTCATTGCCAGCTGATTTTGGATGGTGAGTCATTCTCGACAACATTTCAGTATCACTTTAGTTTCTACAACGCCGTAACAAATTTTTATTTGTGCTGATTGGCTAAATCCAATTAAAATTTTATGGACATTTAAGTTTTAGAGAGGCTCTTAAAAGCATCTCAATGGACTACAAAAAAATGCTTTAATTAATTTTCATTCATTATTGCGTGCTGAATGTCACATAAATTTAACACTTTTCATACTTTGCAGTTTCATTAGAAGCAAATTTCTATTGTTGCTTTTGAAAACATGTTCTGCATATAAACTAACAATGAGGTCCTTGTTGCCAACAAGAGCTTTCATTATTAAGATATGCAACAAGTATAATAAACTTCTGTATTTATTATTATTTTCACAGTACGGTTTTTGTTCCTCTCTTTCATTTATCGTTCTGTAAGTTGTCATGCATCTTGAGATACAAAGAGAAAATAAAGTAGAACAAAATATGAGCAGTGGAGAGGACTTAGATTCATCTTCAATTTTTATTTCTTCTTTAACTTGAGTACTGAATAAGCTGGTTTAGAAAGGTTTTATGTGATCGGATGTGATCGATGAAGGCGCATTTTCTTTGAAATAAATTTACATCCTCTTTGATCCTCTATTTTTCACGTTGCTAATCTCAAACGAACTTGAGTTGTCGGTCTCCCAAACTGTGGACATAAATCATTCAATTGTAAGAAAATAGTGCTAAAAAGTTTTTATTTATTTACATCGGACCCATTCTATGCTGTATTTCATATTTTCTAAATTTAATGAGGTCATTAGGTTGCATTGATATAGCTCTATATAGAGAGAACCTTCTAATACTCATGAAAGACAGAGAGATGTGTACGTTTCCATATTTAGATCATTTATTATGAACGAAAAACAGCAGAGACATAGGAAAAAGGCAAGTTGCAAATTCCTCTTCAAACGTGAAGATATTTTCGGAATGTACATCATATCTGTAACTATGCTGAAGAATTTTCATGAATTATTCATTCACATATATTGAAGACATGACAATCATTTTAACATAATTAAATTAGAAGCTCTTTTTGACTTTATTAAATGACTTCAAATAGACCTTTTTTTGTTGATGATATTGATGCCATTGAGTTGATTCCAATGATATTTAAGTTATTTATGAATGATTTTTGGAGAAATTCGAGACAAATTGTGAATTGTTGCTTTGGAAACGATTCTTTCAATGAGTTGTTATGTCTTTGCATCATTATTTCTACTGTCTCATGATAAGTATCAAATGAGCTTTTCAAGTATCAAATCGAAAAACAACATAGACTTCTAGTCAATTGATTCTATCTGAAAACATCCTAATGATGATCATCAACTAATGGATGATTAGCTATATCAGAGATCATTGTCTATCTCTCATATTTGATCAATTTAATACAAATTTCAACCACAACTATTAATTGGTCCTAAAATCTACATTCGAGTAATTTAGGCTAATATTGAATTTATATTTAAAACGTCTCAATTGAAACTACTTTACTTTCTATACTAAACCATTTTATTTGATAGACAAGCTGTCTTCATCAATACACAATCAATACTTTGTAGCGGTTTTCATCAAATGTTTATTTTGTCTATGAGCTAGTGACTTTATGCTATTTTTAGTGCTGATACTTGATTGGGCTAATATTTGAAGTGAATGGTATTCAATGGTGAAGGGTAGCTTAATCAATGTGAATTTTGTTCTTCTTAGTTTTTTGTCGATCAATTAAATCCTTGAAACACTCGTTGATGTAACTTTATCGTTCTAAGCTTGTCAAGTTTTTCAACCTAAACCATGAATTATTTCTACAAAATTAAAAACAATTAAACATTTACGAAAGTCATATTAAAAAGTTTTTGCACAACAGATAAAGTTCTGTGATCAATTTGCTGCTCAGATTGAATAATTGCATTGCCACTTGTAAAGTAATGAACTGTTGCAGAAATTCATCTTTAACTTCTCGCAACAAGTTTTGAAAAGTTTATTATACAAAGTGTCTAGTCTATTAGTTTTGAGATCTATAAAATATTAATATAATTAACGGAGATGCGCTAATTATCGGACAATTTGCTTGATATAAATATTTAAATGTTCATAAATTACGGTAAAGTTTTCATTATTGAAATAAATAAATTAAAAAAAACATTTCGAGTTTGTTTGCCCAGCAATTTTTCATTTTCCTTCGAAATGCCTCATTCGCTAATTTTTCTGTCATATTGACACGCAAATTAGCAGCTTAATTTCATGTTACGGCTGTTGTTGTTTCTCCATTTATATTCGCTTTTTCTTTCTCGAAAATTGATCTATTTGTTTTAATTTTCTGTTTCTCATTTCTCTTTCTTAATTAACCATCAACAAAAAAACAGTTTAACACAATTGGAATCGCTCGAGTTGCGTGAAAATTTATTGAAAAATCTTCCTGAATCAATAAGTCAGTTAACAAAGCTTGAGCGCTTAGATTTGGGTGATAATGAGATAGAAGAATTGCCTCCACATTTAGGCAGTCTACCGTCACTACAAGAGCTTTGGCTAGATCACAATCAACTGCAACGTTTACCGCCTGAAATCGGTAATTTGAGTAATTTGGTGTGCTTAGATGTATCGGAGAATCGTCTTGAGGATTTACCTGATGAAATTGGAGGCTTAGAGAATCTTACAGATTTACATTTATCACAAAATCTATTAGAATTTATACCGAATGGTATTGAAAAATTGACAAAACTGACAATATTGAAATTGGACCAAAATCGCTTACATGTGCTCAATGAATCCATAGGATCGTAAGTATCTCCCATCTCATGAATTATTTATTCTCCTTTCTTGCTGTAACAATAAATATCTTCATCTATATACGTGTAATTTTTTATTTCAACAGATGTGAAAATATGCAGGAGCTCATACTGACAGAAAATTTCCTTATTGAATTGCCAAATTCAATTGGACGTATGAAGAAACTAAATAATTTAAATGTCGATCGTAATGCACTCATATCCTTACCACCGGATACTGGTAATTTAATAAATCTGGGTGTGCTGAGTTTGCGGGACAACAAATTAACAAAATTACCGAATGAGCTGGGGAATTGTACTGCATTACATGTATTAGATGTGTCTGGAAATCGTTTGCAATATCTGCCATATTCATTAGTTAACTTACAACTTAAAGCTGTATGGTTATCGGAAAATCAGGCACAACCATTATTAACATTTCAACCAGATACTGATGATGCATCCGGTGAACAAGTAAGATATTTGAGATATTCTGTTTTGCTTTGGAATGAAATGTTGTTGAATTAATTAGCAGTCTTGTGATCTTGGTCATGTTTATTTAATTAAAGCTTAGGATCTTCTGATGTTGTTCATTAATAATGTCTAAACTTAAGGGTATGACATATTCATTCTTAGGGGATAATTTTAAAAATCTATTTTTTGGTTAATGTCATTTGTGAACGACCCTAAGTCGGAAATGAAAGAAAATTCTTTTAGGCAGGTAATACGTTGTTGTGTGGGCATGTAATCACAAAATTAAGCGACTTCAGCGGATACAGGATACTTTTACATATTTTCAACGTGGGCTTAAATCACATTACAATCAAATATCGTCGAAATGTACGCAAAGTATCTCGAAGGCACAGAAAAGTTTCAATATTTAAATATTTAATCAAATTTTATTAAATTATTTGATTTCTGAAATTCTGGTCTGCTTTAAAATAAAAAGACTGCTCCTGACTATGGAAAGCCAATCATTGAAGCTTGATTTAATAGCTTTAAAGAAAAATCGATAAAAAAAAAACTTTCTACATATTTTCCAAACAACATTCCTTCTCATATTATTTTAATCCCTTATTATAATATTTATTTTACTTCTTTGCTTTAGGTCCTAACATGCTTCTTACTTCCTCAACAAGAAATGCAGCCCGTTAGTCCAGGTAAGATGAAAGAGTTTACATATTCTTTGTCCTTAATTAAATATTTTTGTTTTCTTCTTTGATACAAACACACGTACCTAAGCTACCGTCCTTGTGATCTCTCTATCTCTCACAAGGAAGAGAATAAAACGGAAAAAATGTTTATTTTTAGCGCATTTTTGAAACTTGTTTCAAAAAGGTAGCTTAATAACGCACTTTGGTCGGCTGGTCGGCTGGTCGGCTGGTCGGCTGGTCGGCTGGTCGGCTGGTCGGCTGGTCGGCCGCTAAGAAAAACTTTTAATCTAGACATCGTAGAGAGTTCTAGTTTTTTGCATTAGTTCCGTTATATCGAGTTATTGGCCCGCCGGACATTTAAAAATCTTAAAACAGTGTATTTATGCTATAATTAATGAATTTTTGTTTTGTTTTCAGTGTAACCTGCTCAAATTTTATTTTACCTCTATAATTTCAATATTACCTCTATAATTTCAAAAAATTTCTAGCCGTTGTAAAATTTGAATTTCAAAAAACCGTTAAATGATAAACTTTTTTTGTATGGAAATTCATTGGAACAAATTATTTAATTATACTATAATTAATTTTTTCGTAGTGCAACTTATAGCGGGAAAATTTCAAACTATTTATTGACCGTTAGAAAATTTGAATTACAAAAAAATGTTAAATGATAAACCCTTTCTGTATGAAAATTCATTGCAACAAATTATTTAATTATACTATAATTAATTTTTTCGTAGTGCAACTTATAGCGGGAAAATTTCAAATTATTATTATATTGACCGTTAGAAAATTTGAATTACAAGAAACCGTTAAATGATAAACTCTTTCTGTATGGAAATTCATTGCAACAAATTGTTTAATTATACTATAATTAATTTTTTCGTAGTGCAACTTTTAACGGCAAAATTTCAAATTATTTACTGACCGTTAGAAAATTTGAATTACAAAAAATCGTTAAATGATAAATCCTTTCTGTATGGAAATTCATTGCAACAAATTATTTAATTATACTATAATTAATTTTTTCGTAGTGCAACTTATAGCGGGAAAATTTCAAATTATTTAATGACCGTTAGAAAATTTGAATTACAAAAAACCGTTAAATGATAAACCCTTTCTGTATGGAAATTCATTGCAACAAATTGTTTAATTATACTATAATTAATTTTTTCGTAGTGCAACTTTTAACGGCAAAATTTCAAATTATTTACTGACCGTTAGAAAATTTGAATTACAAAAAATCGTTAAATGATAAATCCTTTCGGTATGGAAATTCATTGCAACAAATTATTTAATTATACTATAATTAATTTTTTCGTAGTGCAACTTATAGCGGGAAAATTTCAAATTATTTACTGACCGTTAGAAAATTTGAATTAAAAAAAACCGTTAAATGATAAATCCTTTCTGTATGGAAATTCATTGCAACAAATTATTTAATTATACTATAATTAATTTTTTCGTAGTGCAACTTTTAACGGCAAAATTTCAAATTATTTATTGACCGTTAAATAATAATCCTTTCTATATAAGCATTCATTGTAACTTTTTGTTAATTACACTAAAATTAATGATCTTCTAATCTTCTCATGATCTGTAAATGAACGCAAAATAATTACATAATCAAATACTGATCGCTAACACAAAAATGCGCTTAAGTCCCTCGATCAATAACACGAGGACTTCTGTAATTTTTTATTTATTTATTTTCCTTTTCTGCACAAACAATAACGTCAATGTAGAGTAGCACATTCTCTTTCTATTAGATACATACATAAAAGAAATGACACAAAGAACCTTATAATATGGCAACTGACATTGTAATACTAAAAAATGTCGGTTATACATAAAACAGAACGAAAAAAAAAAATTCAATAAAAAATTGAATATTCTTTAAATAACAAAATCATGTACATACGACACAGAAGTGGTTTAGTGGCAATAGAGCGCAGTTTTTGAATTTATAATAATGAGTAAATTAGTTCACGTGTTGTTGTTGCAAAAAAAAAAATAAATTAAGTTCTTGAGACCGTTGAATCCGTTACTTCTGGCGAAAACAATGGAAGTAGTGAAGAATATGGTGTGAGCGTTTTAATAATGAAAACATTGAAATGAAATGAAATGTCAAAAGACGTGATCTAGATGTTGAGCTGATATTATGCAGCTCTTTCAGAACATTCGAGTGCGACATCACATTCTATTTTTTATAGTCATTGGTGCTGTGTAGAGCACTTTTATGGAATATATTTTTAGTTAACCTTTGAGACAATGAAAGAATGAGATTAAGTAGCTTGAAGGGTAATGGCGATGGATATTTTGTTACTAGAGTGATGGTCGATGATTGGAAATGAGATTAAATGGATAGGAATTTAAAAGATTGAAAGGGAATTGAGAAAAATGAAGGATATTTACCTTAAAAATCTATCCTTGGATACACTTTCGAATCTTGTGTAGGAGACAAATTCAGGCGGTTTTGTCATCGTTCGGAAAATATCAATTTTCTTAATCATTCTGTTTATTTGTATCTATCGATATGCAGGCCTTGCACTTCACTATTGATATGATTAATTGTAAGAACCTTAGCTCTTCTATAAATTGTTAACCATTTGGTAGTTCCACTAATATTTCAAATAACTTCAAAGTGTAATAGAATTTAAAGTCTAGCTCGAATCTTTCATGTGTGCATAATTTATGCATAATAATATTTTAGTTTTATTTCACAAAATTCAAATGAAATCCCCAAATGCTCATCCAGCCAGAATAAAGTGAAGCAATGCACTCATTTATTATTCAAAAACTACGCTGAAAATTGTAATAATTGAATTTAAATTTCCTCTCGTGTATGTGTGTGGAGGAATACATTAACAATAATATTAACAAGAATTGACATTTCATATACATAGTACGTACGTAACAACAACTGAGAACATTAAGAACGATGACGATCACAGGTTAAAATAATAATTGAATGAAGCTGGAATGTTAAAATGAAAATTGACTTTTTTTTCTTCTTCAATTTCTCCAATCAACGTCCATGGAATGGATATAGAATATTAATAGAAAGAAAAAAAAATTGTTTTTCAATTGTTTGTGCTTATTCTATTTTAAAATTTCTGATATGAAAGCTGTACATTTTCAATTTGAAAGGATTTATTTTGCAATTTTTTACTCTCATTCTGTGCTCTTTCAGTTGAGTGTTAACTGTCAAAGTGAATCATTTTCATTTCAAGTGCTTCTCTCGTAAATAAAAAAAAAGTCTCACATCTTTTAGTTATCTATCAAGAAGAAGCTTATAAAATAATCTTTTTATAGATAGAGAAGAAAAATTAATACACATGTTTTATTGAATCCTTTTCTTTGTAAAAAAATCACTATTTGATAAATTTCTTTTTATGTTCACGCAAATCATCGCACAAAAAAATAATAAAAAAAATTGATTGAATCTAAAAGATTTAGCACCGGGAAGATTATATAGATCAAATCAAAAGTTCGGTTCGATGGATTTGTCTGATATAACACAAGGTTTAGTAACATGCAAAATTATAAAAAAATATAAATAGTTCGATTGGGAGTCGTTCACAAATGATGGCTATAAGAATTTTCGTCTGACTAAATGTATAATTCAGAGATAAATTCCTCAGAACCCCCTCTCCCCTCCAGTTCCTCTAAGTCTTTACAATTATTGTTATAGGCTCTTTATAAAGTAAGCTTGAGCTTTCTGAAAACCTTGTCAAATGGAACTCACTGAACCTTTATTCTCCCCCTATACTGGACATGATATGTGAACGACACCTAATTGAAAATTCATTTTTCTACTCGACTAACATTGAAAGTGAACTAACAGTTGAATTGCATGATCAAAAGTAACATTTCGTCGTAGTTGTCATTAAATACACAAATTCTTTCAATAATCGCATTAAAGAACAGAGAAAATAAACACAAAAATCATGATTAAGTTTGCTAAATTAAGAAAATTAACGAATAACCGCATGACAAGTAAGGCACGAGAACAGCAAAAAAAATTCATTTTGATTTATAATCTCACATTAAGACAAAGATTCTTATTTAATATAATTTTACTAACTTTTAAACTTTCCCATTTCATTCTTTCTCAACAAAAAAAAAAAAAAAACAACTGACAGATAATCGTGAAGATTCTGATAATGAAGATTGGCAGGCACGAGAGGAGTCAAGAACGCATTCGGTTAAATTTAGTGAAGACTCGGCAACCGACAAGGAGACACCGTTTGTTCGACAAAACACTCCACATCCAAAAGAACTTAAACTTAAAGCTCATAAATTGTTTTCGAAAGATAAGAAGGATGATGAGTCGCAGCTGAATCGTTTGCCTGAAGAGGTGAGATTGAGATTTTTTTGTAGTTTTATTTTTTGAGCAGTAGATGGCGCGATGAAATGCTTGAAATGTGTCTTAACTGTGCAACACAAATGTGAATGTAGCGTGTCACATGTGACATTGTCAAAACATTTTTGAATAGCAATTTGTCGTTTAAATGCTACAGAATATTAGAATTTTGTTAAAGATTTAATTGTCAACTTTGGTGACAACAAACATCAGCATTCAAAGTTTTCTATGTCATCAACATTAAAAATTAATATTTATCCTTAATTTCATTTAATTCCAGTCACAACGCACGGAGGACGATGAACTAATAGAAGAATCCCATCCAGAAGTAATTGCATATCAAGAAGTGTCGTCAACAGTTGTGCATACAGAAATTCATAACAATTTTATATCACCAAACGATGTAAGTAACTTCTTTAAGCATTTAAATGCATTTGAACTTTCAATATATAAATGACATTTTAGATAAAAAGTTTTACAGCAAGAAACTTAAAAGACTTATAAATCATTTTGTCATTTCTTTTTTTTTCTCTAGGATTCTGGCGAGAAACGTGTTGTCTTTCCCGATGAAGACGATCACAATGAGGATGAGGAAAATGATAAACGACCCGTATCAAAGTTACATCGTCGTGATACACCACATCATTTAAAGAACAAACGTGTTCAACAACATTTGAATGATAAAGCATCAAATGTGATTCTTAGTAAATTAAAGGAGAAACCACACATTATATCAACTGTTGAGGAGGTCCAAAGTATTGAAATGATTGAAAGCGTTGATATGATTCAAAATCTAGACATGAATTCAATGCCAATCGGACAAGATGTTGGATTGCCAATTGTTGAAGAAATTCCGGATGTTAACCAGAATGGAATTGAAATATCATCAAATTCAAATGGTGAGTTTAATTCTTTGTTACAAACACTTGCGAAAATAATCATTGTTTAAGTTTTTTTAATAATGTTTGTTATCTGCCTGTAATTAATGATAACGCTGTATATGGATACAATTTTAATAATTGTGAGGGTCGATAACAAAACTTGGGAATTCTACATATGCAATATCTGATAAGAAACTTTTGTATTAAAAAACATCTACAAATGAAAAACTCGAGTAGAGCTTCACAGTTGATTTACTCGACATTTCTCGGTCAAATCGGAAATCCTCAAGGTCTTAACATTTCCAAAAAAATTACTTTGCCGGTATCTAAAATTTCAATCTCATTTTGGTCTTACAATGCCTCATTTTAAGTGCGTGATTTTCTTCAAAACCACAAATCAACACGTCCATACAGCAAAAGTGGAACCACAAAAAATCATTTTTGGGTTGTGGTGTGTACGAATTAAATTATAATTTCCTCATGCCTCCAAAAAAAATGTTTTTATTATTAATTTTACCTGTGTTGGTACTTGCACAACTTTTATTTTACACTTGCTACTCTTTACTTTGTAATAAAATACACAAAAAAAATATTGAGCTAGTGTTTCATCGTGGAGAAAAAAAAATAGAGTTAGTCATTTTCAAACTATGTTAAGTAAAACACCGAAAGCACTTGAATTTCTCAAAGAAAAATAATAATAGGATTATAAATCAAAGAGAAAGGATTGCTTGGAATTTGAGGAATCTACTAGGATCAAGAAATTCTAAACCAAATTGGATTGTATAAAAGAGAAATTTTTATTAAACCTTCGTCAATCGTCAAGAAAGCTTGATACAAAACAAACAATAAATTATTAAACCTAGGACAAGCAGCATTAAGTTACAAGAAGAATCAATTGGAATACATCAATTTTGGTATTAAAGCTTGAAAGTTATTCTTGCTTTAAATTTCTTATCACACAAATTTGTTATTGATAACAGCAAAATATTCTATTTTCTTGCATTGGAGTTATCGTAACGACCTGATAAGGGAAATATATTTTGTACCTGTGGTTTTTCATTAATAAGGTTTCAAAAAAAAGCGCAACTGAAGTAAAAATATAGCTTTTTATCATATGTTTACATTTAAACGTAATGACATCATCACAATAGTGATAAAAGAATTTCAAAGCACATTCATCATAGAAGACACTTGAATGAAATCGAATTTAGTCTAAACGTCGCATGACTAATCAAGTAAATCAGTTCTTTAGACGTTGACATTGAAATAGTTGTACGAATATCGATTTTCTCAGGAAAGGTCACAAATCGATCAATAAGAACAAAATCATGTTTAGTGTAAAATTAAAAGTGAAGGAAGACCCACGAAATTATTACTCATTACAGAGACGTAAAACGTCAAATCCATCGTCACAATTTTCGTCGTCAACATCATCACTGTCTAGACTTCAACCACCGAAGAAAAGTTCATTTTTGAGTAACAAAAATGGAGCAAAAAATAACAAAAAAGTTCGAATTCAAACTTCTTATGAAGAGTCTTTGACAAGTTTTAATGGTAGGTGGACAGAAAGTCTCTGACCTTATCTATTTACTTACTTCTCATGTCTCCAAAAAAAATATTTGAGATGTTTTGTGCATCGATTTTTGTTTGTATTTCATTCCATACACAACCATATTAAACGCATTATGACCAAAATATGATTGTGTTGAGGTACAGAGTGAGAGAAAAAAAAAGGCATTTTGACACACATATCCAAAAAGAGTAATTTGAAGGTGATCAGCCCGACGAAACAAGAAAACAAATGTGCTAGCCCGAAAGAGAGAATTAAAGCCTCACTCTTTAAGCATTGAGTGATGTCATCAGATGATGGAATTTGCGCGCGCCCGTGAAAAAAAAGAGCACGCAAAGAATGTAAACAGAAGAAATAATCCGTCACGCGTATATATTTGGAATCAGGCGTGAAAATTTGTCTAATGAATCAAATAGCAACCGTTCGAATGTCAAAAAGCAAGAGAATTATTTTGAAAGGACGTAGATAAAACTTGATATTAAAGTTTAAATGTTGTAAACTCGATGATTATCTCATCATTTCTAGGCTCATAAATATTTTTGTGGTGTTAGATCACTTTTTGAATTGAAATAGTTGCATGACCTTTTCTAACAATGATAAAGGTGACGACGAAGTGTGTTAGAGAAAGAAAAGGTCATTAGAATTTTAATAAGCATTGCTGTTTGGAAATTAGACTAGATTGTGCGTTTTGTTCTATTGACTGGGTTATGGAGATGTAAATTTCTGGTAATTATCAGTGAAAGCGAATAGCTTGGGATGTTTAGAAACTTCCGTTCTTGATCCAATTTTAGAAAAATTAAAATTGATCTTCCATTGAAATTTGTAGCCACATATTAGGTCTTAATGTGTAGAATTCTGATAGTTGTTCCGTAAGTCAAGCCTTTCTCAATCGTACGCAATGCAAAATTATCTGTCAAACCAGAAATAGCTAGTCTATAGCTTCCTTGTCACTATCATCATACACTTCCGATGTTTTAAAACCACAAAACATACGTAACCATAGAAAATGCGCTATAATGACTCAAAATTATCATAACTATGGCTTTTCCGTCAACGATTTCAGAGGAATTTCAACTTCATGACGATTAGTAGACAAAAAATGTTGTGAGAAATATGAAATAATGACCGCATGACCTATTAAATTAAAAGATTTCAGTTCTAATTGCATTTAATATTAATTACATCTACTGTGGTCATCTAAACCGTGCGCTTTTTTAAGAAAAAAGGAATTAAAAATTTCAATCACGATAAAAGTGTGACTATTTATAAAAATACCGATTGAGCGAGCAAAATAGATCATAGAAATGATAAGAAGCACAAAAATGCATCGAGCGATCGCATACGGTAAATTCCTTTTAATTGATTAATTGTCAAGGTCGATGCGTATGTTTTTCTTTCTATATTTTTTTTTACTCGTGAGAGAACTATTTGTAAGTTATAAGTACATACATTCATTAGTAATTTATTGAAATGAAACAACATGAAACCTGTAAAAAGTTCTAGCTCTCTTTTCCACAATCGACTTGTTACCATATAAACGATAAAGTTCAGTTCTCTCACTCACTCACACTTTACACGGCTCGCTATGCTTTACTAACCGTCATATGTGAGTGTTTATATTATTATTTCTGTTGCTACTACTAGACAACCATCGATTTTTATTATTCAGTATTTATTCAGAATTCAAAACAATCGCTTGCGCGCATCGTAAGAGGAACTGAAAAAATAAAAATAAAATCATTTCAGATGATTGAGCAAAGCCTTAACAATTGAAGAAGAAATACAGTTGAATTTCCAAGAATAGTCGTAGATAGAAAGTTGTTTTCTGCGAATTAATAAGTTTTTTTTTGGGATATTTTTATTGTGCATTAAATATAAAAGTTTACGGTCGAATTTACTTCAATGTGATTATTATTGTGTGATTGGAATTGAAAACAAATACACAAGCATCAAGTCACCAAGCGATGAAAAGTCCAACGATAAAATACATAAAAATCAATTGTAAATTTCTAATAATCAATAGCTTCTCATTGTTTTTATCATATTAGAATTGCATTTAAAAATATTATTGCGCAATTTGTGTCATTCTAAACTTGGCGGTTATGTCGCATCAAAGCTATTAAAATATTTTAGCGATTTAAATACACAAAAAATAGCGAACAATGATTATTTTTTATTTGAATTAATTCGTTCATCTCGCTCTCTCCACATCAACTACCTATTGAGCATGGATGAGTCACTCATTAACGCAATTGCAGTGAGAACTTTTTTTAATTTAATGAATGAATTTTTCATTAACAGATTCGACGGATGCTCTGACAGCATTGAAAATCGAAAGATTAGAAATTCACATTGAACGTACATCTGCTGGACTTGGGTATGAAGCAATTCACATCCACTTTGATGATTTTATTAACATAATTTCTCTTTAGTCTAAGTATTGCAGGTGGTAAAGGATCAACGCCATACAAAGGAGACGATGAAGGTATTTTTATATCGCGTGTCACAGAAGGAGGACCAGCAGATATGGCAGGCTTACGTGTAGGCGATAAAGTGGTTAAAGTAAATGGCGTTTCCGTTGAGGAAGCTGATCATTACGATGCTGTTGAAGTTTTGAAAGCATGCGGTGCAGTTTTGGTGCTAGTTGTTACGCGTGAAGTCACAAAACTTGTTGGACATCCAGTCTTCTTTGAAAATGGAGAGCTCGCAAAAATTGCATATGATCATAAAGAGACGACAAATGCAAAAGTCATTCCAGCACCAATACATATTCCGACCGAACAAAATGAAATGCAATATCATAATGAAACACCACATTCCGCTCCAATTTTAGACACATCTACGGGTCATCATGCAGTTGCTAGTCATATATTGCATGGAACTTCCGATGTTGTACACAAAATAACGCTACATACCACGTTAATAAGAGATCAAATTGGCCAGGGACTTGGGGTAAAGAATTATGACTTTTTTTTTTACTCGTAATCCTTATTTTCATTAAATTATACAGTTCAGTATAGCTGGCGGCAAAGGACATGCACCGTTCGTAGACGGATCAGATGGAATTCATATTTCAAGACTTACTGAAGGCGGCATTGCACAACGTGATGGAAAAGTTCAAATTGGCGATCGTATTATAGCAGTAAGCTCAAAATTTTTTTTCATTATCTTAATTGCGGATTTTTTCTCCTTTCCCCTGCTTTAAATCTTTCTCATTCGCATCTTACTTCTTTGGCTTCATTAAACTAATTTTACAGATTAACGGTGTTGATATGCGATCGGCTAATCATGATCAAGCTGTTCAATTACTAACCGATACACAGAGATTTGTGCGTCTCGTGATTGAACGTGAAGTGAAGGGACCACTCGAAATGCCTCAAAGTCCACGTAGTCCATTATTAAAAGGTCTCAGTCCCACTGGATATATGGCAAATCGTCCAAGTAAGAATTTTGCTTCATGTTTTTCTAAGTTTGTTTGATTTGAATTACTTTACACAAAACATTTATTTTGTTGATGTAATGATAAAAATGACGTAATCAGAGTAATTAATTAATGTCCATTATTTTTGTCATAACAACAGCATACACGGGTTACAGAAGATCAATTGGAGACATTCTAGAGTCTAGCAGTGACACAACATCACACAAAAACAAAGTAGTAGAAGTAGAAAATCATAACAATAATAAAGTAACAACAACAGCAACAATCATAACACAAAATACAGAAAATAATAATGCAACATTACCATCATCAACATCCTCATCATCATCAGCGGGCACAATACAAAAAGATTCGCCAAACAGCAATGAAGCATTCATCCAAAACGAAAAGCAAGCACAAGTTCAAGCTCCTCAGCCAGCACCACGTACAAGATTATCATCACAAAATTCCGTACCATTAACAAATGGTACAGCAGCAACAACAAAAAGTGATGATGCAGCACAGGTAAGATATAAATGCATTTTTCTTCATTTAATATTAGGGATGTTTAGTGCTAGTAGATACTACAGGAAACAAATTTTGTTTTGAATGCTTCTCGGTCGTCGAATTAATCCTTATAAAAATTTGAACGTAGAAAAAAGTTGTCTTGCTCATGAAGCACCTTGACATTTAAAGGTCACGACTATATTTTGTTGATAAATTTATGACACAGTTTTTGGCGTATTTTTTTCCTGGCTAATTTTGGCTATTGTTTGTTGAATTTTGACATGATAACTTTTTTGCTGTCCAGAAACGCTGAAGTCGCCATTTATCGTTTGTCTGAAAACAAAAAGTAGTGCTTAAGGTGCATGCAAGTCGTGCTATTTCAATTTGAACTAGATAAGAATTTAGATGAAACTTTTTATAAGGATTAAACATGTCTTATTTGTTTGGTGGAAGTTGACAAATGCTAAAAGAGAAGAGAAAGAATGAAGAATTTCCATGAAAACCATTTTCATTAAAAATTAATGATTAGCAATAACAAAAACAGCTGTAGATAGAAGAAACTTTTTTTTGATGCTTTGCTCGTGCTCGTGTATGTCTTTTACCCCAATTTTCCCATTTATTAAATTATGTTTTGTGTAATTGCTTTAGATTTAATGTGTGAACGACATAGTCTTGACATTTTGGAATGCATGAGAGTGATGGCAAATGAAATTTAGGAAGGAACAATGAGAAGTTTCAGTTTAATTTACTTTTAACATGAATTAGATTCGAGACATTAGCAAAAGTTCTTGTAATTCTCAATAAATTCCATCTTGCCATTATCCCCTCGAAAAAGAAAAAGGAAGTAAGAAAGAAATGAAAATGTTTAAGCTTTTAAATCCTCTAAGGGATCTTTTAGTCCACCCGCCAACCAACCAAGCATCTCGTTAGGAACTTTTTATAATTTTTTCCATCTCCACAACCCCAAACCATCCATCCATAATCTCACAATCGCCACCAAAACCAAACTGCCTCGTAAAGTAAAAATATCTTTTTTTTTTTATCGTAAAGCTTTTTATTATTAAAAAATTAGCATTATCTTTATTTATATCTACTTTATGCAAATTGCGCTTACATTATTTTTGTTGTAAATCATTTAGCAGCAATAATATCATTTAGTTCCGAACTTGTTAAAATTAACATATTGTTTTTCTTTATTTTTCTTTTTTTCTGTTTTACTACTTCTCGTCATTATCTCGTCAAAATTATTAATATTAAAATGTTTAAATTCTGTTCGATTCGCGATTTTAAATTGAACCTTTAAAAAAAATTGTTAAATATATGTAAAGGGACCACGTCCAATGACGAGTGATGATTTCCAAGCAATGATTCCAAAACATTTCATTAGTGGTGACAAAAGCTATGATGTACAAAGATCGTCACCAGCATTAGAGCAAGGAGCATCAGCCGTAACAGTAACGGTAAAAAAGGGAAGTGCAGATTTGCCAATGCTACCGCCAGCACCAACAGATATAGGATTCGTTACAGAAACAATCACAAAATCTACATTAACAGAGACTGTAATGACACGTGTCACAGATAATCGCTTAATGGAGCCATTAATTAGTGAGGTGAATGTTCAGAAACGATATCTCGAGTGTTTCCTTCTCGTAGAATTAAAGCATAATTACTTATGTCTTTACATTCGATATCGAATTTACAATTAAGAAAAGAAGAAAAAGACTGATTACAGGATTAATGAAAATTAGGAATTTGTGCACTCATTCATCAATATAAAAGTCACGATCAGGGGTGTATCCAGAAAAAGCTTTTTGTATTGTTTTTGGGGTTCTACCGATCAGAATTGGGTGGGCTGACTGGTGTTTTTGGAATAGATAGATGTTTTACAAACTTTGTGTTTATAGATCTTTTGCAAACTTTGTCAGTAGATCCTTATCAATTAGACATCATTTATAAGCGACCCCTAAAAATTTGTTGCCGAAACGTTTAAGTTAACAAGTGTGACGATTGTTAATATAGTTTGTGAATCGCGGTCATAAATCAAATCCAAGTGTACCATACCCTCAAAAGTCTCTCCTGGATACCTCCCTGATTAAGATATAAACAAAAACAAAAATAATGAAGACATTCCTACATACTTTGACACACCACAATATACAACCTCTCTCTCACACACACCCATATCCATACACATTAAACATTTTCTTTCCTACACACAGTAAATTATTGAAGTATCTTTTATCTCTCTCACTCACACCCTCTCCTTTTATTCACTTCTATTATCGTTGTTATTTCTTCTTTTTTTAATGTTATCTTTTTGTTTTTCTTTTTATCGGAAATTTGCTTCCTACTGCAAATATTTGCACATCTCCTTAGTTATTTGTTCTTGCAAAAATATCAATTAATTAGATCTTATTCGACACTGTAGGGCTTTTAGATGCCATAATTAGATTTTATGAAAATGTATACGTAGACAAGGATTTTTCCATTGAAACATAGCAAGAGCTTTTTATATGATGAATTATCATGGCTGTCAGCAGCAGTTGCACGGCATGAAAAGTTGTCATAATTTTTCCACATAAAAGAAGTATTTTTTGATGGCAAAGGGTAGAGAAAAAAAAAAATTGCATAGCTGCATAAGCTACAGGCGATAGTAGATGTAGAGAAAGTAAAATTATTTTTATATCGTACATAAATGCTATGAGCACAGCCATGTAAAGCTCTTATCAACACAGAATATTTTTGGCTCTTTGCTTTTATTATATTTGATAAATTGCCGCGCTTTTGTGGTAAACTCTTGTTGAAACCTGTTGTTGAAAGCCATAAATAAAGTATGCACTCAGAGTTCTATTTATGGAAGTATGAATAGAAAGAGACAAAGTGTGAGAGATAAAAAATACCACAGAACTGATTGAAGAGCGTAAAAAGAGAGTCTTGGCGATGACATATTGATGACATAATTTTCTGTTGACTTGTTTACGCTTAAACAAGCTGCGGAAGATCAAGCAAGCGAGAATTTTTTTATTTGGAATGTGACTAGCTCTTTACTCTTTCTTCCTTACATAGCTATCAATCTATTCATTTATTTTGATAGCTTTTTTCCACTGCTTCCTTGTCTATCCATCCATTCATTTTGAAATACATCCAACATGTCATATGTCATAAAAAGCAACACTACTTGTTGAATATTCCATCATATACAATCACTCAACAGATGAGCTGATGAGATTTCACAATTTTTCCATCATTTCTATCCATATCGATTTCTTTTTTTTTTTCATCAATTCTGTTCCTATCGAATGCCTTTAAAAATCACAACAGATTTGTCTCAAAGGACGAATTGGCAAATTGAAAATGTGTCTAACATGTTGTTGTCTATTACAAATAGCTTTCCTATTTCCTATCCAATTAGTGTGAATACTGGATGAATCAGAGTTGTTTTCTGGGAACAAATTGATGCTGAGTCAAGTTCTAGAAAAAAGCTAGTTAAGTCTAGTTGTTAAACAATAGAGTTTGAGCATCATTTCCAGATAGCAACCCTGCATGTCACATGCTAAAGCTTAAAAAGAGTCATCAATTTATTTTTGTCTTGCATCTATAGAAAAAAGGCATTTCTTTTCTTTTTATGCTTATCATGATTGCGGAAACAATTTCTTTTTTCTACTGCGGCTTACGTACATTGTCATAACATAATTGTCAATGCTAACGTTTGTGACATAATTTAACGATCAAGAAAAGCAGCTTTTACATGCTTTATCATTGCCATCCTATAACTTACATTTCTTTCCATCACCTCATCAACATTTTCTATCCATTAATCATAGTTTTACTCTTTACGAATGTATGCTTGTATGGTTCTGCTCCGCTCAATTTATTTATGTGCATAAAATATCACTTACGGGCTACTATCCCATGTACTTGATATAGAATTTATTACCTCCCTTATTCGTCAATTTCAGAATGCATGTCAATGTCTCACACTCTCTCACAAAGTCTTAGTTCTATTCTCTTAATATGGGTATTGCATGTTCAATTAAATTTGGTGAAGATAAATTACTTATGATCATTCTATGTCTCTCTTTCCACTCCCATCTATGCTTACTGTTTATGTTTCTTCTTCTGTTATTACAACCTGATGTGATATGTAGAATGTCTTCCTTTATGTTATGTTATGTATGTCGGAATGTTTCGTAATATTTTTTTTTGTTTAACGTATATTTCTTTTCATATGTGATTACGATGATATGAGAAATGAGAAGAAGCACTCGAAATTTTTAAATTATTGATGATATTTACTATGCATGCAGAGGTGTATCTAGATTAAAATTTGGTTTAATGCTCTAGAATCTTCTTGGGAACTAGAGAAATAAATCAAACTTAAAAACTTAGATTCTAAGTGAAAATTGATTCCAATTACTGGATACGCCTCTGCCATTGAAACAATGATGTCTGTAGTATTTAAAGCGGTACACGAGAAAGAATAACTATAATTGACATTTTTTTAAAACTTGTGTTATTTTTGGCACATAAATGTAGAACTTGAAAATAACAAATTACGTCAGTGTGCTGCATACAAAATACACGGATAGCATTGCTATAAAGCTGAAATCATTATTCATTTGTTCTCTTCTTTTTTTTCAACATTAAACAATCAAATTATAGGAGGTAGTTTTGCCGAAAAATCAGGGACCACTTGGATTCTCCATAATTGGAGGAACAGATCACTCATGTGTTCCATTCGGCACGCGTGATCCTGGAATATTCATATCGCACGTGAGTATTAGAAATATCGTTTGTATATAATTGAAAAGTACTAGCTAGACACATAAATTGTTCATTATAGATTGTTCCTGCTGGAATAGCTGCACAATGTGGTAAATTGAGAATGGGAGATCGTATATTAAAAGTAAATGGAACAGATGTGACTACTGCTACACATCAAGAAGCTGTAATGGAATTATTGAGACCATGCGATGATATTAAATTAACAGTTCAGCATGATCCTTTGCCAGCTGGTTTTCAGGTGAGACAATTTATTGCACACGTGTGACTGAGACTGCTCATGTATATAAATCGGTGAATTAAAGTCAGATTTGAGAACTATTGCTTTACTATCATCTACACATAGCTAATTGCTTTTTTGTCTGTTACTAGAAAAGTCATTTTTGATGATTTATTTCCCGTTTGTCGAAAGTAATTTTTCTAGATTTACTAAATACATTTATAGCTTAAAAATCACATAACTTTTTTTTTCTTCATCTTTCTCTGCAAACAAAATTCTCTTTGTCTAACACACATTACAATTCATATAAAAACGCGCTAAAAAATTAAAGAAATATCTAATTGAAGTTGTGAACTCAGAGGTAAAAAAAAATCACATAAAATCCCAATTGTTGTTCTCCTATTGTTTATGTAATTTATCATTTTAAATTGACATTTGCCTGGCTGCTGTAGAATTTCCATGTGTTTTTATACTTTCTTAGTTGATCCATTTTTCATAATCTAAATGTGACAGTTGTGTGCGTTCTGAGATGATTCATAAATTTTAATACAAAACTTTTCAATTTTCTTCTTTTACGCACGGAAAAAAAATAAATTTATAGGAAGTGACAATTATAAAAACTGACGGTGAACGATTGGGTATGCACATCAAGGGAGGCCTCAAAGGTCAACGTGGTAATCCATTAGACCCAAATGACGAAGGAGTATTTATATCGAAAATAAATAGCAGCGGTGCTGTACGACGAGATGGTCGTCTTAAAGTAGGCATGAGAATTTTAGAAGTCAATGGTCAATCATTGCTTGGCGCAACGCATCAAGAAGCAGTCGATAGTTTACGATTAAGTGCAAATCGTTTAAATTTAGTTGTTTGCAAAGGATACGATAAATCCGATTTAATTCATGGAATGATCTCATCTGGTACGGGAAGTCGTTTGAGTAGTCGTGCATCAGAAACAGGCAGCGAATTAAGTCTGGATCAGGATGAATTAGAGAACTCTACAGTCATACAGAATTCACATGCAGAAAGCTTAATTAATAAATCTGATGATGTATTCGAAGAGTCAAAACCAAATGAACTGGTTAATACGAGTCAAGAGATTGCACGATTGGCAAATGAAGTTGCATTGCTTAGTCAGCTTGAAAATGAAAATGCACTCGTTAAGGTGAAGGAAAAGAGTACGCCAGAAAAGGTAATAAAATTAATCTTTCATTTTTTCTAATTGAACGATTTTTGCTGATGTTAAATGGACTATATTATGCTTATACATTCTGCTTTTTGCAACAGGTATTAGATATCGTAAGAGCCGCAGAATCATTGGCACTCGGAGATGTAATTCCACCAAAATCACCTGTAGAACATCACGAATCATTACAAAAGACCACAACAATTGTAATGTCAAAGCACACATTAGATACATTAAATTCCGCACCAACTGCTGAGATTCAGCAGCCAGCACAACAACAACAACCGATGCAAACGACGCCACCTTCACAGGTATGTAGCTTTTAAAAAACATTCGCACATCGAAATACATAAAATCTCATTAAATTTCCATTTTACAATCTTCATATTTATGTATACATTTTGTTATTGTTATTTATCCTTAATTATACTTGACTTTCCATAAGCCATAATTCATTAAATTTTATCATTTTCATATTGTGTCATTATTGCATGAACGATATAATTTTTATGATCATTTAATAAATTTATAACACATTCATTAAACATTCTGGTTGTTTTTATTCACCATGTGCTTTATTGTAGTGTATATTAATCTGTAGATACATGATTGCTTGATAGTTTTATATACATTTGAAAAGCTTGGAATTTTTTGAAGAGAAATCGAAGCTTTCCTTTTGAAAATTTGTTGAGATACTCACCACTATACTACCGAGGATTTTTAATTGCTTCAAATTATGAAGTAAACTCACCATTAATTGATATTTGTCACTCTTGGTAGTGACAAATTTACAGTAAATTATAAAATCTTTTAGATCATGCGATCATGCGACACTAGTTAACGTTGCTATGATTCCTGCACGATATTTGGTCTAGTAAACGACCAATTTGTCGGCATGTCAGGAATTATCAAGCCTCAACATAATTTTCTTTGATTTTATCACGAAAGATTTAAAATTCAATATATATATTGAAGATTTGTTGCTTGATTCTCCTTTATTGTATATAAAACCATCAGCTTAATTTGTAGAAACATTTTGATTATTTTTGTAGATCGTTGACTAACACAATAACCCTAGTATTTGGTACAATTAAACGTTTTCCACTCAATTATTTTTGAATACCTATTAAATTTTCTCAAAAGACGATAAGAAAAAAGAAGAAAAAGTTTTTTTAATTTATGTTGTTTTTACGGATATTTGTCCCTTGAATCACAAAACACAAAAAAGAGACAATAATTTTTATTAGTTCTCAAGCATGAATATACCAAAAGATCTTTCTTAAATCTGGATAGAATTCCGTTTTCAATGTTTTTTTGAACATTTCAAAGAAAACAAAAATTAAAATGAATTTAATTAAATTTCAAATTTTTATCTCTTTCTCTTTTTCTCCCCTTTTTCTTCTTTTCCTTAACAAGCTGGCGACTTCTTGGCTGAAATAGTAATTTTTTTTGTTGTTCTAAAAATTTAATATCCCATAAGTAGTTATGAGGAAAATTATGGATTCAATGTCCTTTGAAAAAGCTCTAATATAAAAAATAATTCTTTGAGAATAAAGTAAGAAAAATTAAAGATAAAAATCAAAGACTGAAGGAAATATCCGTAAATATTCAAATATATATAGTCGTAATATACTTACATCGTAATGTTTCACATGCAAAAAATGCCGCATTTTTTCCGTGTCAAACATAACGGATTACACACAGGTTATGTAAACTTTTTAAATAAATTAAGTGCGTGAGAAATTAAAAAAAACATTAAATGTTTAAAAAAATTACACAAATTGACAATGTCGAGCATGCACATATAGACATATGAAGTCATACACATCATAAAAAAATAAATTATTTACAATGAGATATGAAAAAATTAAAAATAAAATAAACTTTTACATGGAAAACGGGTCAAAATGTAGATGCTGACGATCAAAAATAAATGAGAAGATTTATTCATATTTGAGGTAGGATATAAAAATAAATAAAAACCAAGCATTAAGAGAGATTAAGGTTAGAGTTTTCAAATTAAATAAGGATGTTCAATGTCATGTGATTAAGAGTCAAGAATTTTTCATTTTAAATTTGTAAGGATTGTTTAAAGTCACTGAATCTTGAAAGTGATGAAGTTCTCAAGTCTTGCTCAAGGGGTTGATCACTGATGACGTTCTTTAAATTTCGTACACATCTTGTCAAAATTCCTAATCAAAATTTAGAAATGAAGAAAGTTTGGAAATGATAGACGTCATTAGTGAATGACCCCCGAATGAATATTTAAAAAAATTGCGTCTGATTTATTTTTGAAGCATCAAAATTGAAGAATTTAATTTCCATGTGATATTAATACTTTTAAAAGAACTGTTGCAGTTTAAAGCTATCTAAAACCTTTCTATACACAAAAACTTAAAGTTCGGGATCAGAAACTGCCATATCGACACACATTAAAGTGTGATTTCTTGTTTCTTCATCCTAATTTTCTTCCATCCAATCACAAAAATGTTTTCCATTATTAGATTATGAATCATTTAATGATATTTTATCTCAAAAAAATATATTCCATATTAATATAAACATCTTAATGATGTAGAATTATGCAGCACACAAAACTTTTTTTTACTCTGAGAATTTATCGACCAACTTTCTTTTTTGTTCCTTCCGATGCAGATATACGAATATATTTATTTATAGAGAGTCAGAAAATAATATATTTATATTGATAAACATAAAATAAATTTTTACACAGTAAGGAAGAGAGAAAAAACAGCTCATTTCATGTTTCTAACTTCTGTTTGCTACTTTAATAATATATAAAATAGATAGATAGATAGATAAATAGTAAAACATGTTTATTTTACACATAAGCAGGAGAAAAATATTTGTTGTCAGTTTTTGCACCAAACATTCATTCGTTTCAAGTTTATATACACACAGAGAAAGAAGTAAAAATGATAGGAAGGAAAGAAAAGTTAAGATGATGTTACGTGCTTCACTTGATAATCAAATTCGACACTGCGTATGAGAGGGGTTATTGTTATGCTTAAGTTTAAGTTAACGCATTTTTCTGGGGCTTTTTGAAGTTAACTGAGGGTTGTAAATGCTTGTTTTAAGGGACTGTAATGTCGTGAGCGCTGTAAGAATCCTTGTCATATCGACAACACTCAATGTAATAGTTTGAGATCGGCTTCTGGTAGGGATTGAACCCACGTTCTCACAAAATAAGGTTGCAGTAGCTGGTCTTTTTTAACCATTCGGTCACAGAAGCCTTATTCTCACAGTGGCAGAATTGCTTACATATGGCTTGACATCTAAGATTTCACTCTGCTTTAAGTCCATATGATATTATGTATCATAATGAGTAAAAGGTCCATTAAGAAGCTTGTAAAATTGATAATTCTAAGCCACCCTATCTAAATATCTATAAAAGCGCTTCCTTAAATAAATTTATTAGTTATTCTTTCATCTTAAAAATATTTGACATTAATTTTGTTATCGTAACGCGTGATGAGAATGTAAACTGTTGTATCGACGCATAATAGGCACGCAATTGACACGTAATACAAGCAATACTGAGAAATATTACGTTCAGAACTTTCTTTTCTTCATTTTCTGTTTGGCTCTATTAAAATAAAAACTAATAAAATAAAACATAATAAATTGCATTAAGTTTGGATGTGTATTTGCGATGTACGTCAAATGAGACTCAATATTTTTTTTTTCATCGTTTGGTGCTTGAACGATCCGTGTAAAATAAATCAATAATCATCAACATATATGTTTAAATGTTATTCAATGTTCTGATAAATAGTCAAGAAAATGTAACAAAGAAAGAAATTTATTTCTCACAATATTTCACTCTGTCAAGTCTTGTTTAGTAATCGATTGATTTCTCACTAGTTTTACAAAATTGCGGTGAATTTTCTTTATCATTCACTTCCTTTCTTCTTTTTATTTTGTCAATATTGAAATATTTTTGCGAATATACAAAATGAATATTGATTGGACCAATATAAACATATGAGGAAATGACATGTAAGACTCACATCTAGTGGGCGATAATGTTTTCTACGAGAAGCTTCGTTATTCTTTTTTCCTTGAATGTGAAAGTTATTTGAATAATTTATAAGAACTCAATGAATAGGAAAAATCAAGAACAGTTTAAACTTACTTCTGATGATTGTCGGAAAAATATCACGTGTGTGAAGGGGTCAGACTTGAATTGAAGTAGGAAGTTAATAAATTATTAAATAATCCTAATAATGTCTCTTGATTTTTATCGAGGGGTATTTTTCTAACCATCCCCCTCCCCCCTGGATACGAGTCATTCATGATACTCTTCGATCTATTAAAAATTCCAAAATATAAATCCTGCTGCTTTCCTACCCTCCCACCAACCAAAGGTTAAAGATTTTAAATAATTATAATCTTAGCTTATAGATTAAGCATCCACTTCCCCTGCGATTAGATGATTTAGTTGTGAGCGTCTCGCTTTTAAAAAAAAGGAAAAAAAAAATTGCGATAAAGTTTTCATGAAACTTAATTAATTTTAATTTTCCTCATTAAATATAAAATTGAACAAACTTAATTCTCAGTCTAGCTACAAATTAGTGTCTGGAAAAATAGAGTAATAGATATTAATTACTTAACCTCCACTGGGATCAATTTCAATTCACATCATAATGTGTAACATCAAGTATGTAAACATATAAAAAGAAAATTGATGAGAAATTTATTTTCCTGAACGTTTTATAATGCATAAAATATTTATTTGATAGTTTCTCTCTGTTTTCTCGTCCGCTTTCAACCGTTCGTGCTTGAATCAATTCAATTTTTATCCGATGCCTTTTTAAAAAGTTTAAATACATTTAAAATGGCTTTTCCTTATGATAGATAAATAAAATAATAATAATAATAATAATGCCATTCAGCTTTACCAGGGATGTAGTTAAAAATACTTAAAACTTTTCTCCTCTTTAAATTCCAAGTTAAAGAACATTTTTGTTTACCGAGAAGAGCATTTCGACTCCACACAAGTCAAACCATACAGCACAAGTAAGGAGAAGAATTTTCAGAAATTTATAGTTCCTGTCAAAAACTTCTCTTCTTTGATTCCACATAAAAAAGCAAAAAACTAAAGAGAAAAAAATTAATTTTTTCAAATTGCTTTTTTAAGGATAGCAAAACAAGCAAGAGGATGATAGAGACAAAGTTTTGTGACACTTTCATTGCTGCTGACTACATTTATCGTCACTTAAAGAAGGAAAAAAAAATGCAAGTTTTTTAAACTTCTGAGTCAGCCAAATGCTCTTTTATCTTGTTGATG